TGTCCACAAATATGCCTCTTATAATAATACTAATTTACATTTACATTAAAATTCTTGGAATTTTCATTAAACGAATATAGTATACAAACTAAGAAAAGCCTAAAATGGAATAATATTATTAGAGAACTGGCATAAATATTTAAACAATTATTAAACACAAGCATTAGTAAGATAAACATTATTTAATGATGACTTATGTAAGACTTATTTACAGAGCTAGCTGTTCTTGCTATAATAGTTCAAAAATAAATAATGGAAAAATAATTAAGATGCATTATGTATGATATAGATATTGAATATATTGAAAGGTTCAGCCACATTATTTTACTCTGGGTGAAGTTATGAGTTCTTGAAGTTTTCACAATAGTACAATTCTCAAGTACTATTGCTACGATAATGAACAAAGTCTCGATTATGTATTTCACATTAAATTTTTAAATGGACATTGTCTTTCATTCCAATAAATACAACAAAGATCTGATAATCTAGAGAGTTAATCACCATGTGAATGAATGCCTAATTAATAATTTATATATGTTATTTGAAGCCAAAACAAAGACCTACAATAGGAATATTTAGCTCTTACATAATGTATCTTTAAATGATCTTAATTATAATATGATGTATTGGATCTTTTATAACATATTGGGGTGTTTATATACGTACACCGATTAATATTTTGTTGATTAGTATACCATATAAATAGCATTGCATTATAACAACATTGATTAAATTTTGTTTTGTTATAATTAATAATAACCGGTATTTTTTTAAGGTCGATAAGATTTTTTTATTATTATACTCTCACAACTTATTGTAACCAAAACAACGGTTTTACTTTAGAATACAAACAACCTGTAAATATAATGTCTTCTTCCATTCAGTAGATGTAGAATGTATGACTTTCATGGCGTCTGTATTTGTTTTTATAACTCTAAGAGTTATGCCTTTCTTGTAAAATACTTTGGTATATGTGAAATTTGACATGATCTCAGTTGATACGCAATACCAACTCTCATCTGTGAACAGAACAGTTCTCCATTGCCTGTGTCGCCAGTTCTGGTATTGTTGGGCTAACTGTAGATGTTTACGTCGATGGCGAGGGGTGAGGATCGGTCCACGGTAAGGTCTACGGCAATGGATGTTCTCTCTGGTGAGAGGTCGGCGCACTGTTTCGGTACTGATGGGTCTTCTGTGTGTTCACACTGTCTGACGGGCTGTCTCAGATGCCTGTGTAACGGGATTCTGCACATGCTGTCGCACAACATGGCCTACTTGTCGCCTTGTGGTAACCCTGGTCTACCAGTTCGGGGGCGATCATCTGTGGGGGCCCGAAAGCGTTGCCGAAGCCTGTACATGGTCCAAACATTGAACTGGAAGTGATTGGCAACGGTTTGGGCAGTGTGGCCAGCGTCGAGTCTTCCAAGCGCCTGGTTCCTCTGAGCTGTCGTGAGTCGTGGCATGCTGCTGACGTTGTAGTGTGAATGATTCAACCAGGTATGGGGGTGCATTTTATAGGGCTGGTCCCGATGAACAGCACGTGCAGCATGAGTTATAGGATTCAACCAGGTATGAAGGGGGGGGGGTGCATTTTATAGGGCTGGTCCCGATGAACAGCACGTGCAGCATGAGTGATATGAAAATCATGGAGAACACATTATCATCTCCGAAGTCAGGTTGCGTTTTCGATAACATTTCCTGGGTTCAGTTCTGTGTTTGGGAAGGAGACTTATTGCTCAGGTAAAGCTGGAGATGTGGTCACAAATATACAATAAAAACATTTAGCATGTTTTAAGCAATGTGTCTATCCAGAGTAACATACCAACCTGACGTTTCTTTTGCTGGTTAGTATATTACCAGGTTAAGCTTTCAGTATAGATTGCTTTAGAAAACAAAGGACATTACGTAACTCAGACCAGCTCTAATGACTAATGACTTCCGCGTGGCCGCTGGTCGTGTCAAGCCAATGCCAATGTTGACCATCTGTGGGTAATAATATGATAAGGATGGTTTAAACAATTTCATGTATGGACGGTGTTAAGTGACATTTTCCTAAATCATCTCAATTGTGTAACAATTGCTAACTATGTTAATATTTAAAAAAATCTTTTGAACATATTGAAGGACACCAGGATGATTCAAAATTAAGAATTGGTTCTTAGGTGCTTGTTTACAGACGAGGCTTGATCAAACAGGTTACCAACAATATGTCGGCCAATTAGGACTCTTATTCTGGTTGTTATTGTAAGTCATGCGCAGCAAAACAGAATTATTAATATAAGACTGGATTGTATAAGATAGTAATTATCGAGCAAAAGAATTAAAGTTCAGAAAAGAAAAAAAAACATGAATTATTTATAAAATAAACACTTGGTTTAATTAAAAACACATCAGGTGGTAGACATTATTAATCGATGGGTAAGCTGATTAATGCGAGAGAATCTCGCGGAAGGTTCCATGGCTGGCACGTCCTCAGTTATGTTTTTGTTTTTCTATCTTCACATTTTGAATTGCATGTGTTCTGTATCTTTGAATGTACATACTTGTGTTAAATTGCATTCGGAATTTCGTTTGAATATTGATGCTTCCATATACTCTGGCTATAATTGGTATCACAGCTATCAGGAATGGACGATGTCGTGCGTAATGTGGAGTATGCATAGTTCTTTCTGGTACACCCGATACTAATGAAATGGACTTATCTGGTATGGCCACAAAAACCGATATAAAAAACAAATTAATAGTCAACATTTCTTCATTCGATTTATTTACATTTTGCAACGAAGAAAACCGCAATGAGTCCCTGTGATTAGATAAATACATGAATGTACGAATCGTGCTGTCCTGGAATTCACGCCATAACGCACACGATGGATATGGGTAGATGCCAGCCCCTTGTTAAAACTACGGTTTCTGATTCTGGCCTATTTTAAGCCTTTTACTGACACAAGAGAAAACCAAATAAATGCGACTGTGTTTCCACCGTTTTGCTCATTGTTTATTTCATTATACAACAGATTAGGATACTTCCTTCATTTTGAATATGATATCGCATTAATATAATCAAATAAATAAATCTCTTTAAGAACATAAATAAATAGAGCTCTGAAAATTAGTAATATATGAAAGGGAAAGACTAAAAAATAGTTAAACATAAACGAGTTTTAAGGTATTTTTTTGACAAATGATCGGAGGGACTCTTTATTCCAAGGCTTGGGATCTTGATGTAAAATGTTTCGATACGAGTAACACTATTACATTAGATCAAAAATTTGTACCATTATACCTGTATTATCTATCAACTTTGACTAAAAAGGACATATGGATTTGTTCATACGTATGATGGGACGAAAAACCGAGGTCCCGTGTACACATTGGCGTGCACGTAAAAGATCCCTTGGCAGTTGGAATTCGATATAAGAGTAGGCCGTAGCGCCGCCGCCCGGGCAAAAGTTCCATCATAGCACACTGTATGGCGTATGCCCGTCTTCAATTAGCCCAGGTTAGGTGCAGAAGAGTAGAACCTTAACCCCATTTCATTTCATTTCATTTCATACGTATGATACATGTACATTATAGTTGAGAGCAGAACGGGGGGGGGGGGAGGAGAGAGACGGAAGACATCTGCTAAGGAGTACTAACGAGGTCTCCTGATCTGGTTTGGTTGCTAGGCACCTGTATAACAATATATATTATTCTGCGTATATATATGTTCCTGATAATAAACATTATACCCTGTGTGTATAAACAATTTTACAACTTATGGCCAAGCTTCTAGTCTATTGACACTCTGATCAGCAGTGAATTTTCGCTAGGCCGATGACATCGATACGACTTAATGAGTCCCAATTATTAACTTTTTTCTTCCGTCAAATTAAATTCTAAAACATTTGTTTTCATTTATTAGGTAAAACATCATTTCCTATTAAGTGTAAATGGGTATTAAAATAAGTAAAATTCACCATTTAGCCCGAATCAGTAACGTCTTATGTAAACAATGCACGCGCTATTGAGCCAATGATTGACGCCGCGTGATGTGATGTCACGTGTCGAAACAGCCATCTGTTACAGAGATATTAGAAGACCTCTGTGAAACAGATTGGTCTATTGACTGTAAAAATAAAAATGTTGCAAACTCTCACAAGATATAAAACATGGATGACCCCTAATAACATTTGACAACTGCAAGTCAGCGATACCCCTAGTGGTGGTGAGCAGTCCCGTTACGCATCATACAGTGGTCAAGACATGGAGCTGACATGAATTTTGAACATGGACTTTGGGTCTTCAATGACTTACTAAGATTGTGACCTTGGCCTTCGATCTAGAGATTCCAACCTATCGTATTCGCGACATACCCTCTAGTTGTTGTGCACAACCAGTCAAATAAATATCACTATTCAACCCCAAACAGTAGTCAAGATACAGAGCGGACATCATTTGTGATGTGGCGGGCGGACAGATGGACTGATGACTATAGCATGGTCGACCATAATTCAAAATACAAACCTGACCGTCAAATTTGTAGCAAAGAATGGTAACTATGAGGTAAATACATCTTCCTTGTTTATAATAATTATTATATATATATTTCTTATGCTCTGAATATTATAAGTGATAGGACATGAAGCATGATTATTGGCTTAACGGAACATATAAATTTTAGAATACAGCTAATGAACAGAAAAAATATAAAAACATTACTTCAAGGACATCTCTGCTATACTTAAACATTACTTTCTCATTTCGTTTTCAAAACGTTTTAAAAATTTATTTTCAGGGTTTATTAGTGGTATCTAATGGTAACAACAAACAAAGCGTAAAAGTCATAAATGCACCTTATTTATTTACTACTCATACAGAAATGCAAAGTGTGAAAGACTCAGCGAAAACCGATAAGAAATACAGATTTGATTCGAACAAGAAATACCCATTCGTCTAACAGAATCGGAGATTACATGTTTAACCGAAAATAACACCACTATATTCCTAATGTCACGTCAAAAAAGACAGGAATATATCTCATCGTATTAAAATTAAATGTATATTATTGAATTATTTGATTTCGCATATAAATTTCCTTGGATAACCACCACATTGACCATCGTCCCATTTCCAATCCTTTAGTCGCCCGCAAGAATCTGGTCCAGAATCCGGTTCAGTTAATGCCCATGCATTAAAGCTCACATCATTTTGGTTTCGTCCATCGACAAATTCAAAATTTCCATTATTGGCTATGTGGTGAATTCCAATCTGGTAAAGTCCCGCTGTAATAAATTAATTATTTTAATTCTAAGAAAAATAGGAGTTGCTAATAATTTCAATTTATAATAGTTACAAAATATCCTAGTTTCTTTGCGTGAACATTAAATCTCGGTTGTTCTTTTCTGAAATGTTCAGTAGGACGTTAAACCTCATTTCATATCATTTCTGAAATGTTATATTTTAAGTTGCGCAAAGCTGACAATATTCCTTTTAGTACAGCATGGATTCCGATTTGTAGATGAAGTAAATTGGTTTAATCAAATAACATCACTCTAAATATCAATTAACATATTCAATTGATCCAAACACACAAGTAAGTTTATATTTTTATACGCCCACATTTTCATGTGGACGTATATTGTCGTCGCCCCTGTCCGTCCGTCCGCCCGTCCGTCCATCCACAATTGTTTGTGAACAGTCTACAGGTCACAATTTTTATTCGATTACAATGAAACTTGAAATATAGGTTTATCACCCTAAGATCTCGGTTCCTTTCGATATTGGCATCTATCGGACCATAACTTCATGGATTATGGCCCCTGATTGTACGAAAAATCACGTTTTTGGCTTGTGAACACTGTAGAGGTCACAATTTTTATCCGATTTTGTTGAAACTTGAAATGTAAGTTTATAACCCAAAGATCTCGGTTCCTGTCGATATTCGCGCATATCGGACCGTAACTTCCTGAATTATGGCCCCTGATTATAGAGGTCATAATTTTTATCCGATTTAAAAAACCGTATAATTATATCACCGTTGAACCCTAAGGACGGCTGAGTTCGAATTTCGTGAAAATCGCCCCAAAACTGACAGACAAAATGGCCGCCATTTGTTCTCAAATAGCTTAAAAATATGGTATATCAAGGTTGTGGACCCAATAGAGGTCACAATTTTTATCCGATTTTCTTGAAACTTGAAATGTAAGTTTATAACCCAAAGATCTCGGTTCCTTTTGATATTCGCGCATATCGGACCTTAACTTCCTGAATTATGGCCCCTGATTGTACGAAAAATCGCAATTTTAGCTTGTGGAGCCCATAGAGGTCATAATTTTTATCCGATTTAAATAAACGTATTATTATATCACCGTTAAACCCTAAGGACGACTGAGTTCGAATTTCGTGAAAATCGGCCCAAAACTGACAGACATAATGGCCGCCCTTCGTTCTCAAATAGCGTAAAAATATGGTATATCAAGGTTGTGGACCCTATAGAGGTTACAATTTTTATCCGATTTTGTTGAAACTTGAAATGTAAGTTTGTAACCCAAAGATCTCGGTTCCTTGCGATATTCGCACATATCGGACCGTAACTTCCTGAATTATGGCCGCTGATTGTACGAAAAATCACTTTCTTTTTAGCTTGTCCTCTATCCATCTCTCGAAAATGTGGGCGTATCCTGCCTGGCAGCCGCTGGTTAAAACAATGTCTTGGCAGTCACAACGTATGTTCATAGGAAATCTGATTGACAGTTAAGTCGGACGCTCTAAGCCAACGCGGAAAACATATCTAGGCACCGCCGTTTGAGACACTCATACCCTCAAATGCGTAAGAATTCATAGGCGTGTTCTTTATTTGCCAACAATTTTCGGTATATATATATAGAGAGAGAAATGGGGTTTAACGTCCACTCGACACAAACTAGGTCATTTTGGGACTAATATATGGTTTAATTTTATTTCAATAATTCGCTTGTGCGTAGGGGTCTTTAGCAGTGGGAGGAAACCGGAGGACCCGGAGAAAACCCACGAGGTTGGACAGGCGACCCTTCTCCTTGTCACGTACAACCGGGGATTCGAAACCACGCCAGTTCACTCAATGACAGGCCTTATGATACAGCGCGTACGTGCTAACCATTCGGCCATCCACCCCCCCTTTCGGTATATAAAATTTAAATGTAAATGAAAACAGCTTTTTTTATTTGTAGCACAGAATAAATCTATATAAATAAATAGAAGTTTATACTTGAAATCATTAGACTACTCTTAAAATTCTCATATTGTACCGATGATCTGATGATAATCTAAATTAAACTCTCTGATTTTAAAGACGTGTATTTCAATAGTTCTATTGGTGCATTTCTAGTCTGAATGTGATATTTTAAGCCAAATATAGTTGATTACCAAACTTAAACACACCAATACCAAAGTTATAATGATAGCAAAAGAATTATGTATTGGAAAGAAAATGGGTTTTGACGTTCTATTTTCCTGCACCGACTGGGCTTATGCATTATGCTATGGGGGAAATTTTGCCCGGACAGCGGCGCTACGGATTACTGTTATTTCGAATTCTAACTGTCAAGGGTTCTTCTACTTGCACGCCAATGTGTACACGGGGCCTCGGTTTTCGTCCCAGCCGACGCCCCCCCCCCCATCCCGCCCCACGGACAAGGGGAACTACGCCAGCAAATCACGATGACCTTTCTTCTTAGCCAACACCTGGACCACTAAGCCTATATGCGACTCCCTTTATCTTGCAGAAGTCTAGAATTAAGTGCCGATTATACTTAGACAAGCTACTATTGAAGCCACCCTAAATAACAAGGAACTAGAAAACAACAGCAGAATTTGGAAAGTTTCTTGGCTAGTCCACAGACACACACACACACACACACCCACACACACACTGAAAGTTAAAAATCACAAAATAAAATAAATGTATCAAGATTATAGGGACTGTATACGAAATAAGAGCAAAAAAATAAAATATCGGGACAACAACATATTAAAATAGACTACCTGTTATGTGAAGTGCAATTTCGTCCAGTTTTTGTTGAGTGTCTATAATAATCAAATCACCATCTTTACTCTGGCAGCTTGCTCTAGCATCTGGCCAAGTTACCAGAGTTGTATTCACATGGAAACACATTCCACTGGCCATGATATAAGGCGAGGGGCAAATGAAGGATGGGGTGGTTGCTTCTGGTGATGTAGTTGTCCCTGGTGGTGGTGTCTCGGATGCCATCGCGGTTGACACTGCTTGGCTTGTCCCTTGAATGAGATACATTGACATTTATAGAATAGATCTTAACGCGGATAAACTTGCATGTTCATGATTTTATATATGCACTTACTATGTCCCAAAACCCAAAAAGTAATTTGTTGATAATTGTAGGCGTGTGTGTTTTGGAGCAACGGTGTAAGAAGCTGGCTACCTAAAAAGAGTTCCTGGGCCGAGATGGTTCCACGTGTCAATTTTGTAGGATAGATAAGAGGGTAAGCACGTTGACGTGCATGCAAAAGATGCAACCTTTGACAGAATTCGACGACCAGTAGGCGGAAAGTCCGCTGTCCGACCAAATGTCCACCATAGCACACTTTTCCACTAGTCTTGCACTTATATAACGTTAAGCTTCACATCATTTCTAAGATTATTTCCAAAATTTTAATTTGATTTCGAGGCAAGATAAGTCAAACAAAATATTACCCACGTCGACGTCATACTCCAAGTCAGTTCACTCGAGTAGAAAATTAAAATTAAAGACAGAACATACCTTTTGATGCTGATGTATAGTAGACCGTGTTTGCCGCCATGCTAGCTGTATCTTCGTTATATACTTGTTCATGAAGGTAGCATATACCTAAAGTTAGATCATAGAAAAACGAAACACATTCACTATTTATCGTACACTCTAATGCACACTTTATTTTGGATGTTTGGAACTTTTGGCTCTCATTTGTCACTAATTTTCCATCAATATCTGTGATTTTAGTCCATAAAATGGACGCAACTCCATTAACGCACAGAATTGACAGCAGTGTTGAACAGTTCATAGTGTACGTGTTTATGGTGATCACGAGCTGTCATATGCTTTAAGTCTACCCTTGATCAATATCATTAAAATAATTTGAAATCGTTCATAGCATGTACACATTAAACCCACCTAAATGGCCCTTTACCATCGTATAACCTATAAAGTGTGTTCTCTTATTGTAATAATAGAAGTAAAACTGTACTCAGTTACCACTGGTTACAACCCTCAAGTGGTAATCTTTAATGTATTTTTCGGGTTATTTTAGTTCTCAGCATACACAAACCGTTCTGTATTTAATGGACTATTTCACTGAAAATTCATTGTCAGAAAATATTAGAAGCAACGGTACAATGATTGTAATGTTATCTTGAAATAATGACTAAAATAATGATTAAATAACCTTATATTGATTCCACCACTTTCTCGAATAGACCACATTATTTTAGTGAATATTGTACAAGTTGGAGGGCGGTGTGCTAAGTACATGTATCAGGAACAACGATACAATAGCGCAAATTATTTGATTGGGGATATCGCGGAATAATGACGAAAATACTCATTAAATATTCGTAATTAATTCACAATTTCTACGGAAAGATCATATTATTTGAGTTTATAATGCACCGACTGCAACACGCATGTTTGCCTCTTGGTAAGAAAGTGTTAACAAACGAACCGAGAGATTCAAATCGTCTGAATACCAAAACTGTACCTATATTTATTTTCGTGCATGTTCCGGCCCCCAGGGGTGTGGTACCATACCCACTTTTTTGTTAGTTTTTATTGGTAAATACTCTACAGGTTGCAATAATCAACAGATTTTGTTCAAATTCAGCATATCAATCATTTCAATAAAAGGGTGGTACCTATTTATATTGTTCCATATCCAAACCCCAGGGGCAGAGCCACGCCCAATTTTTGTATTTATCGTCTACAGGCTGCAATTCTGAATGGATCATCTTGGAACTTTGCATATTTATTTCTTTTACCGTAAAGACAGCAACTATCTGTTTGATAGATTTTATGTAATAATTGTTCATGTGTGTTGAATGGTTGAGGTACAGTTTACAATGGCCGCCTGATTCAAATGAATGTTGTTTATGTTTTTGTAGCACACAATTCTACATGAAAATAGTGTTGGATTATTATAAATTCGTGTCGAATGTGACAGGAAATGATTCCTTTTGGTGATCAAAGAAGAATCACGGTGAAAAATAGACGGTAAGGATTTTTTTAATGCAACTCACTTTAGCTAATCAATGGTCGGGTGACGATCTAGAGAGTTTATTATGGGCTTGTTATGTTAATAAAGGAAAGACCTGCAAAAGGCAGATTTAGCTCTTACATAGTGCATTTTGAAATTCAATAATTCAATTAATTTTTAACATGTTTAAACATCACAACTTTCCTCTCGAACGAATGGATTTTGTTTTGTAAAAGTTATAAACAAAATATCATTGCCCATACACTTTGTTGTGGGCGTAAACGTATGGCTTGAGACTAGATGACAACTTTCTTGATTGTTAAAGTAAATGAATAATGCAAGGTTCAAATGACACCCATAATGTCATAATAGTTAACTTGCCTATGATCACAATTTAATCTTATGTTATATTATTACACCGCTATCTCGTTATCCATCTATAATAGAATATATTTATTATCAAGCTTGATAAAGCGAGAAGTCATGATTAAAAACTAATATATTGTAGAATTTTAATAATTCAGGAGCGCCAAAAGGAAAGTGAGTGTAACGGATAATTTCGTGTCAAATCAAGTTTACCTTATATATCTTCGTCACACGACTGAATTAAAATAAGTTTTATCTGACATCAGGGTCGTGCAGGGCGGGTGTGCAAAAACAAGACCCTCAAATCTGATGAGGGTATAGGAGTATATGTGGATATGTGCCCTAACTTCCACAAAAGTGCCCTCTCTTCTGAAAAAGTGCCCTTATTTCTGGAAAAGTGACCTCGAATTTCTAAAGAGTTACGCCAAATACTCATGCAAATTACCGCGTAAATTTCATCATATCCCTATTGCCCCAGTGACAACATTGTGCTACCCTTCCATTGTTTTAAAAAGATACAGTGATACTAAAAACCAAGCGCGTTCAATGTACGTACATCCTGTGAAGATTCACTATCCTGCACGACACTCATAGATCCTCGGATTGAGATCATTATATTTTTCAGATGATACGAAGATCAATTTTAGGACTTCGAATTTTGGCTAATGGTTTAGATTGGTCGTACTTGGTTTATTTTATTAGTAATTTGGAAAAAAAAACAACAAAAAAATATATGTCAAATTATGTTTTTCCAATCGGGACCGATAGGCCTTGGCCCTTCTTGACTCTCGGACCAAGTCTGGCGATTCGAGGTCTAGTCCGGCCTCTATTTATATTAATTAAACATACATTATGCAAGAGCTAAATCTGCTAATTGCTGGTCTTTCTTTAAGCCTGAAATGTTTGCTAAATTATTAATTAGGCATAATCAACTCTCGGTGGCATCCGATTTCTCTGATATTTTGGTTTAATTTAAAAATGGAGGATCGAGACTTAGCTTCGAACAACCAGTACGGTGGTTGAAATTATTGCACAAGTCTTGTCAAACCCTCAAAGGCTAATATCATCGCTCGCAATAGAGTAATTTGAATGAAATGTTCAAATTATTCATTTTACATTATCTATTCGAACTATTATAGCAAAAATGGCTAGCTCTTTATTTAAATCTTACATAATGTATCTTTAAAATTTTAGTTTAGATGTTGAACATGTTTCTATAATATGGTAAGCGCTCGGTCAGCAGGCTCCGGAGACAGGTAAAACAACCTTCAGCACCGCTTCAATACTCTTACATGTATCTTCATCAATCAATGATATTTTATGTAGGCTATCAGTGGTAAAGACGTAAGCAAAGTAATTTTTTGGCATACATTTACAAGAGTATCACCCCTGGTCTTACCTGCAGTAGTTATTTAAGTATGTCTTGCAGTTATTCTATACTGGTTCGTCAAACAGGAAAGTAAACAATAAATGTTGGGAGATGCCACTTGTAAGCCGGTTGGGGAGGTTCGGGAATTTCCGGAGTCCACAATGGCCACTTTATATAAATGAGTATGTTTTAACAAACACTTCATCACATGATCAAATTATAAAACCGTACCTGGGATAATCGATTCGGAAATCAGTGTCGATAAATGTGCTGCTAAGGGTAACGAACTTGAATAAGATTGACGTCAAAGATATAGAATTGATTAAATAAAGATTACTTTGGCTAATCTATAGTCGATAAAAATGTATTAAGATATCAGCTCTAGACTTACATTTTAAAAGCATCCAGTATTTTATTTGAAAGATACATTTTTTAAAAAGAATAATTAGGTCATCTGAAACTATTTTACTTGAACAGGGAAAATTAAGTACGAAGTCCAAAATATTTATTTAGCTTTAATTTAAAAATATACTAATTTGTACCCGTGGCTTCTTGTAGATATAATTACGTCCTATTTAAATATTATGGATGATGACGGCGCTGCTGTCCTCGGCACAGTTGCATAATACTATGATTAAATCAAACTAATGTGTAGTTACATCCGATATGATATTGACAGGACCAATATCCATACTAACCTGACGATGTCAGTCTACAATTAGCACCGCTTAAGAACAGACGCCAAGCTGATTAACAGGTATATTAATTCCTAAATCGACGATTTAAGTCGAAAACGCAAAGTCTACTTCGAGAATGTCGAGAAGTATTTATTCATCTTCTATTTAATACAATTTAAAGGGTTTATTTAGTCTTTGTGTTTATATGACAAAATAGTATACTCATTGGTTTGATATGGCGACAAGTCAGGACAGGGACCTATTCTTAAAGTAGATAGTTCTCTGTGTGTATGTAGAATCTACCAACATCAGGACATCAATGAACTCTATTCGTCAATAAGAGTGGCGTTTGATTGGTTTGATCAAATTGTGTAAGTGGCTGTTGTGTTTTATTTTTTTGGACGAAATCTGGACTAAGACTAGTAATTATTTCCCCTTATTTCATGATGGACGAATGTAGTGCGAGTTATAAATAGACAAATTTTCCCTTAATTTTTTTCTCCCCTCTTCCTGCAATTTTGGGTTGACTTTTTGGTCTAGAATTGGAGAAAAGGGATCAAATTTGCAATTTCATAGCAGTTTTGGGTAATACTGATGATATTACAGCTGAGGGATAGGGGGTGTAAAGTGTCTTTTTGCAGAGCAATCATTGTGTCGGAAGTGAGATTTTCACCCCTGTCAACTTCAAATCCGTGTAGCAAAAAATCTAAATGGTCAACCCCCTACAAAATTATGATGAGGAGATTGCCAAATGTTGTCCCCATTGTGCCTATAAAGATTGGAACCAACGGAATGTTGAGCAAAAAGCTACAGCCTGTGATGTTACAGTCATTTAACATTGAAGTCAATGGGCAAATAATTGCTAGTCTGAGACCATCTGGATATTTAGTTATCTCCCTTTACACACAATGAAGACCTTTTCGATTTCTTGCTATAAATACAACTTATTTTAATCCCATAATGTAATAAAATTATAGCCATAAATGCATAATAACGCAACGACATATGTCCAATCGACATATAGTGGATTATTATCGACATATAACGTTTATCTTTATTTCAATAGTTTATCGGGGTTTTCCGGCGTGCCACCCCCACTCCCCACACACACATAGCTGGCGTATAACCGTTTTCATTAGCACAGTCGGTGCAGAACAGTAGGAGGTTAAACACCATTTTATTTTAATAATTTACAGTGAATTGTCTGTATGTGTGTGTGTGTGTCATGGTGGGGGGGGGGGTGACAATAGTTAACGCGCAAGCGATTTATTGAAATAAAATGTAAACATACGTTAGTCCCGA